GTGGTCTGGTTGCTGAGGTGGCTGTGGGCAGCTGAGAACTTAAGGTGATACTTGGAGTTCTTACTATACCTCTGGAATTAAAGCACTCAGAGAAGGGGTGAGGAAAAGAGGCTGGAAAAAATAAAAAATCTTGAAGGACTCTCAAAGGTCTTTCTTGCACTCAGTGAACTTACCTAAATATGATGAGCGAATGAAGCACTATTCTTTTGGGAGGGATAGTACAGTAGGTTATGTATCTCAACCAAACATTCGATTTTCTTCTTTTTAAAATATGTTCAGCTTCAAAAAGATCCATTTTGGCATGAGTGACTGGGACTGAAGCCTTTTTCTTTTCTCTTTTAGTTTCCAGGAAGTCCACAGCTTTGCCTCGGGTAAGGCTTTGCCATGGAGCCCACTGTGTGCAGCCATGGCCAGTTGCCATTCCCTGATCCTTCTCGATGGGACCATTCAGGGAGACCCTCTGGACCTCAAAATGTTTGAGGGGACTGCCTGGGTAAGACTCTGTAGAGAATCTAAGAATTCTCTTTAATGCCAGAGCTGTAGGCTTTATTATAGATTGAATACCTAGAAAATGTGAAGTTTCTAATACGGAGGCCATAGAGCAGTGAAGAGCAATGAATCTAAGCCTAATTTCCTCATCTGTACAGTGCAGTCAGTGATAGTATCTATGCTGTAAGATTAGCATGAGAATTAAACGAGGTGATGCATTAAAAACAATCCTTGACACTCTGCCTAGCACATATTAAACATTACAAATATTCCCAACTCTTTATTCCATTCTATGAGCAATGTCTGGTTTCAAAAGTTTTAAGAACATAAGGATTAGGAAGCTCTGCGATTTCTAGCATGAAATGGAATGACTTGTAGGCTCGTGACTAAGTTTTATTCCTATTAATTTAGATTTTAGACTTTATTTCTAAGACTGGAGTCAACAAGAAGGAAAGCCATGAAAGAGCTTTCAGTGAGCCTTTGAACTAGATTTAAGAGCAAATAGTGGAGTCGAGGAATCTTGCTCTTCTAGTTCTAGTTTCGGCTCCATTCTAACTGATAGCTCAACTGTGATGGTCTCTCATGTGGAGGCCTTGGCTCTCAGGATGATAAAGTGAGGGGCTGGAATTAGACCAGCAATTCTTACATAAAACAAAACCTGATCAACAAAACTGAAATCTTTTATTTAAAGAAAATCTTATTCAGAAGCACCTTTGAAGATCCAAATAGTTGGACTTGGCTCTGGTTGAGATAGAAGATGTGGAGTAAAGGAGAGAATTAGGGAATTCCCATTCCCAGCTACTTAGAGACGAGGCTGCCCCTCTCCCTGCAGCTGTACGTAATTCCAGGCCCCAATGATGACTGTGGACACCTCTGAAAGAGGCAACATTTAAGATCCCTTCCAACTCTAATGGAGCACAATTCCGTAGCCATGTGTTATAACTTCGACAATCCTCCATCCTTTCTGGGTTACTGTTTTTGTATCTTTAAATAGGGATTATCATTTCCTCTCTCAGATCTTTTCAGCCACTCAATGAGATGATTACACTTTGATACCTTCAGATAAAATTCTGCATTGGCTATAATTTAGGGTCATGATTATAGCAATTACTGAATATTAACCAGGTACGTCATAGTCTTTGCCCTGTTTTGCCCTGCCTTAAGAACTCCCAATTCGAATTAGACAGGGCAGAGCAGGAACAGCAGTGGACTCCAGGAAAAGAAAGATACCAAGGTGCTTGCTTCACACAAAATAAGTCTGGCTATTCTTGCTCAGTATTTTCAAGTTAAGCTTTTCAGAAATTGAGAAAAACTCTTTGTATAACACATTCCAACAGAGAAAGCAAGATAAATTGCATGAATAATTCAGAAGTCTCTGCCCTTCAAGTTCCACACGATTTCCAATGCATTATTATTATTTTCCTATGGCAGAATAAGTCTGGTTCACCTCCAACTAGCTCAGGGAGGAGAAGAGGAGAATATATTGAAGTGGTCTAAGGATTTTATCAAGGGGAAGGTTTGAGCATAGTATCAGTGGATGAATAATAAGTCTCTACAATGAAATAACTATCTGTGAAACAGGAAATGGCTGTTTCTGAGGACGATTTCCACATCAAGGGAGTGCCAGCACATGCTATGGTAGTTAAGCCCTGCAAAACAGCCAGCCAGGTAAGCCTCGCTTGCCGTTCGCCCCACAACACCCAAGGCCAAAGGGAAACTCCCTTCTGGCCCACAGTTTTTGAAAGGCCATAGATTGAACTTCTTTGAATTCCAGATATGAAATGTGGTGAGACCTTTCTGAGCCCTTATTTGCTAAAATAAGGATTGAGGGAGGTGTAGTTAACTCCCACTAGCTAGAAGCTATGTTGGCGTGTCCCTTTCCATTCCCCGTCCCTCAACCAGGTCCCTGTGGAAGGAATTGCAATCCTGCATCAGTTCCCATTCTCATCAGCACTCCAGAGGATGACAGTCATTGTCCAGGAGATGGGGGGCGACCGACTAGCATTTATGAAAGGTGCACCAGAGAAGGTGGCCAGTTTTTGCCAGCCTGAGACAGGTTAGTGAATAGACTTGTATTTCAACTAGAAAATCTGTATTTCCATCCAAATATATCCCCATAGAGCCTGACCTATAAATCCAGTTGCCTATTGGCCATTTTCAACTGAGCAACTCACTGGAAATTCAGACTCAATACCAACATCAAGCTTATCTTCTCACCTCCCGTATTTCCTTTTTTATCATCCCCGTGAATGGTACCACCATCCTCCGCACCCACTCAGTTTAGGTGTGCTTCCTGATTCCTCCTTGTCCTTCAGTGCCTCGATCTTGTCCGTTGCAAATCCATGGCCCTGTCGTGCATCATTTCATCAACCCTGGTCACTTCAATAGTTAGTGGATTGAATCCCTGTATCTAGTCACCCCAACTCTGATTCATTCTCTGTGCTGCAACCAAGTCCTGGCTTTTCATCCCACCCCTCCTAGAGGCTCTCGTATCGTCCCCAATTCCTTTAAGATCATGTATAAAGCCTTCATGATTGGACACCTTTGAACTTTCCAGATATGCCCTTTCCACTCCTCTCCTCACAAAATGAGTCAAATGAACTACTCAAGGCTTGTTGTCTCCTGTCTCCATGCTGCACGCACGATGCTCCCTCAGCCGAAGCCCTTTCCTCCTTTTCCCTGAGCACTTCTTCCTAGTCTGGGGTAGTCACCATGAAGAGCATCCGCAGTGTGCTGCCACTGCCAGAATCATAGCAGAGACCTCATGTGGTTGTATTGTTAGCCAATGGCTGTTATTCAAATAGACAGAAATTCTTAGAGCAGAGCTTACAGTTTGATCTCTCCCTAGTCAGTGTCTATAGAAGACCCTCATAAATATTTGTTGGTTACACGAGAGAGGAAAAAAAAAAAGAATTCTATACTTTCTCTACCCTTTTGTGTTTTTTCCAAATCTTCCCTTCTCATTTCAGCTTTACTGGATCCCAAGAGATCAATCCTGACAGTTCAGTTGTATTTCCCACTGACTTCTTTGTGTTCCTTTGTAGAGGTGTGTTTTCTTGGGCAAGAGTTGGGCATTGTAAAGAATTTCTCTGCCAATACTAGCGAAGTAAATATTGCATATTAATCTTCTCTTATTTTCTAAACAGTACCGACTAGTTTTGCTAGTGAACTTCAGATTTACACAACACAGGGTTTCCGGGTCATAGCGCTGGCTTACAAGAAGCTGGGGAATGACCACCACACCACTTCCTTGATGAGGTAAGTGGGAAGCGTTTTGAAAAGGAGAATGGTCTGGTGGAGAGATGCAGCAGATTGGGATGGCACTCACGGGCTCTGGGGGGTGGACGCAATGACACAGCCTGCCGAATCTGTGTGCATGAAACGTCTCTGAACATTGGTAAACAAGAGTCACCCCACCCTGTCCAAATCACAAAGCCGATGTGAACATGCACTGGGAGAATTTATGAGAAAAAGTGGTATGAAACAGACATGAATATAACCAGTCTCAGAGTTGGAAATTTTAATCCTACTCCTCTCTCCCTTTACTAGTTGCTGGGTTGACTAGATGTTACGAAACATAACATTTGCCTGAAAAAATTTTTGATAAGAAATACACAGCTTGGGCCAGTCCCACGCCATGACCCAGTGGTTGGGAGAGCCAGGTCCCCTCTAGCTGACTGAGATTTAAGTCCTATCCCAGGTGGTTTGAGAAATAGACCTGGCATGTGTGCAGGCATGCCCCAAATCCTGACTGGATAAAGAAATGGGGGAGAAAGAATTGTGCTGTGATCACACCCCACGAATGCTCAGCATCTAAAATAGACCGCAGCGTTTGAGTTTACCTTTATTTGTTGTGGTTTTATTCTATGTTTCACTGGTTTTAACCGATTGGGTTTATTGTACCGTCAGTGCTGTTTTCTGTTCTCAGTGGCAGCCACTCCCTGTTACATGGCTGTGGAGAGAGCCGAGGCTCAGTTTGTTATTTAGGATTTTACATGTTAAGTACCTGGGCTCTCTCTGTGCCTTGGTGGTTAAGGCAGCCAGATCTCACATGGCCAACCTGTGCTTTGAGTAATGGACCTGGAGGCTGGAGACAGTCGTTGGGTGCATGTGCATATGTGTGCCAAAAATTCCAAGAGAGAGACATGGAGGAAGAGGGGTTGTGTGGCCATGCGCTGTGGGAGGAGCTATCTCACTCGCCCTTTCTCTCTGTCTTTCTGGTAAAAAAGACCTCTGGCAAAAAAGAAAAAAACTTGGAAGTTTCTCACATATTTGTTTTCACCCTTATTAGACTCAACACTCTTGTTGTAACTATATTTAGTCACTCTTTTAAAATATCTTATTATAAAATGTATATGTAACATACTCTTTATAAAAATAAGCAGAATATTTTCCTGTACAGTAAAAATAAAAGCAAAAAAAGCATATAAAAATGTAGTAGTTTGATCAATGCTCAGTTGACTCCACTGAAACGAAATGGAAGAGTTCTCATTTTCCTGTGCTGTCCCTGGGCATGTAAATAAGTTTGTTTGCTGTTCCTTGTTAAAAAAATGGAAGCAGTAAGTTGCTGGCATCTGTACATAGACTTATTAAGGCTCAGCAGCCGTAAATGGAAACAGTTACAGGCGTGTTATACGTTAGACGCTTGAGTCTTGCTGTCGGTGGAATGATTAAGGAGTCTTGGTAAAACTCCGAACAGAAAGTACAGTCTTCTGGGGACCAGCAGGTGGTGTGGTGGGTAAGGCGCTGGACACTCCCACATGGCCAACCAAGGTTCGAGTCCTGAACCTGGTGGCTCACTTTCTCACTTTCTCCCTCTCTCCCTCTCTCTGTGTCTCTCTCTGGCCAAATTAAAATAAATGAATGAACAAATAAAATGAAATAATTTAAAAAACACTTTTAAAAAAAATATAGTACAATCTTCTCTCACTTTATGTAGCTGTTAAATGCCTGAAAAATTCAATGGAATATTAAAAGCGTACAAGAACATTTATATGTCAAACAGAGCTAGGGGAAGTACAATGATTTTGTAATTGTTTAGAATAATATAGTACTATTAAATATACCGCAATAGTACAGTATATTACATAGTATAGTGATAGTAAAATGCAAACAGTAACACCTCGTCTGCCTTGGGACAGTACAATATTTTAGTGTTCTTGAATGTCTAGTAAAATATTCAAAACGTATTTGAGATGCAGGATTGTTCTTCACTGTACATTGTCATTCCAGAAAATCTTGCATAGATGCAAAAACAAAAATAAAAACAAAAAACCTCCCAAAATGTGGTCGAGAGGACGTACTGCCTCTACTGAGCATGACTGATGAGAGCCGGTCACTCTGGCCCAGAGCGGGAAGAGGCTCCTTTGAGGTCATGAAATCTGGGGTTCCTGGGCTTATTGGCTCACTGTACTAGGGTCAGCTTAATGTAACCCCGTAAACTTTGGCTATTACAACTCTGGATATTTATTGTAATTTGATCAACTCACTTCAAGGTCACTCAAGTCAGAGAGCTAAAACTGAAATTTGAGACTGGATGTCACATTTTAACTTTTAAGCCAGAGGGTTCACTGCTCATTGAGAGAGAGAGAGAGAGAGAGAGATGGAGAGAGAGAGATGGAGAGAGCAAACCTTAGTGGGGAGGGGTCATGCTGCAATCCCTTCTCTGTTTCTCCATTCTGTCAGGATCCTGGGTGGGTGATAGATGAAGCTGACTGATAGTTTGAGACAGATCATAGGTTGAAATGGGTTCTGAAGAATGGGGACATGCCCAGGGACAGCACAGGAAAACGAGAACTTCATTTTGTTTTAGTGGAGTCAATGAGAATTGACTATTACTATTAAAACAAACAAACAAAAACTATTACTTTTTTTAAAGAATTATTTGATTTAACTTTATCTATTTACTTATTTAAATTTGACCAGAGAGGGACAAAACAAGTTCCTCCTGAGCTTTCTCTGAAGTGAGTAGAAAAGCTGTGACCGCTGCTACCACTCATCAGGTGACTGACGAGCAGGTTCTTGGGGCATCGCTAACTCTAGTTCATGACCCTGGCTGATGTGAGACCTGGCCTAGAAACACACATGGCAAACAAGGCCAGGGGGCTTTCCTGGATGCTCTTTCCTCTGTATTTTGGCCAGTAATAGGCAGTGGGGGTACTTGTTCACGTGTCAGTGTCTAAGCAAGTGGAAGTGAGAGTCCTTACATCTCCAGCCCCAAATGTACTCCCCTCCACTTGGTCCTGTAGAATGTCCCTGTGGTGGAGAGGACCTCAGAGGCCTCACTAGCTTGCAGAAACAGTCACTCTTCACGCAGAAAGGAAATGCTACTAGCAGGGGAGAAAGAGAAGGAGAAGCTTGGCTTTAAGGAGGGGACTATTGGTTGACATAATGACATCATTCCTCATGGGGCCACAGTGATATCTATTATAGCCTTGGTTTCTAAAAAACTGACATCGTGTTGAATTTTTCTTGCGCCTCGCTTATTTTCCATGAACCAAAACTCTGTTGCTGACAGATGAGGTAATGAAAATCAGGCACAGCCGATGGGAGACCTTTGCAGTCATTTAGCTCATTCTCTGCGCAGATTAAAGCGGATCTTTTGCTTGATATAGCTCCCTTTCTCTTGTTGGTCAGAGTAAATGAATCTACTTTCTTCGGGTCCTCTCCTTCTTTCTAGATTGTTCCTTGCACATAATCAGTGCCTAGCTAATGGTGCTTGAATGATTGAGTGGCTTCACTCTGACAGGGATCTTTGCCCTTTTGTTTTACTTCCTGTAAGAAAGCTACACTGTGCGATTTCTGTTCAATCACATATATATATTTCCAGGGAGAAGGTAGAATCAGGCCTGATATTTCTGGGATTACTGATCTTGGAGAATCGATTGAAAGAAGAGACAAAACCTGTCTTGGAAGAGCTCATCTCTGCCCAGATAAAGACTGTGATGATCACAGGTAATGGAACAAAGCATGCCATGAAAACAGTAAGAGTCTGATGTGTGAATAGAAAGGGAGTCTCTCACTTAACAAACAGGGCTATCTACTACTGGCCGGTCACCATTCTGGGGCTGGAGATGGGCACCAAAAAGGCAAAGTTACTGCTTTCACTGAGCTTCCATCCCAGTAAGATGAGAGAAAATCAACCACTCATTCAAAACTTAAAAAAACAAAACAAACAAACAAACAAACAAACAACACAATAGGGTGATGTAGTAAAGTGTGCCTCATTATCTACTTCAGATGAACTGCTTAAGGAAGACCTCTCTGAGAGGTGATATCTGAAATAAGATCAGATAGTATTCTCTCTCTTTCTCTTTGTATTTCTGGTATATTAGCATGCAGTGAATCGGAACTCTCCTACACTGTTGGTAGGAATGTAAATGAGTACAACCTCTGTGGAAAACAATATGGAAGTTGCTCAAAAACCTATAAATAAAACTACCAGATGGCCCAGTAATCCCACTCCTTGGTACTTACCCAGAATAGAAAAGCAAGAAGACATTACGCATCCATGTTGATTGCAGCATTATTCACAACTACTAAAATGTGGAACCAAACTAAGTGTGCAAAAACTGATCACTGGGCTGAAAAACTCTGGCACGTATATATTATGGAATATTGCTCAGCTATAAGAAACAATGAAGTCCTATCATTTGATTCAAAGTGGATGAATATATAAGACTTAATGTTGAGCAAAGTCAGTTAAACTTTAAAAGATACACACTGTATGTCCCTATTCAGTTTGTATCAAATATTTGTACTCTATTTCAAAAACTGAGAGATCTGAAGACACGATATTAGAGAGGATAAGTGTAGGTACCAGAGGCCATAGGGAGGGGAATGGATGGTAGAGAATGGGTGGATACGAGGGGCAAAGAGAAGGACATTGAACAGACAAAAAAGTAAAGTTCTCCGTTCAAAAAATATGTGTGATATACATTATGATGGGGACTATATGTAAAATGTGAAATTAATGTGAAAATTAAAAATATAAGATGTGAAATATAAAATATGAGCTATGCAAAGATGATGACCTTTATTGTCAAATATTAAGATTAAACAAGGTGGTCTATAAACTACAGCAAAAGGTCACTTATAACAAAATATATGATTATGGAGATAAAAAATGGTGTCCTCTCTATTCCTAAGACCAGACTCCTAGTCACATAAACAAGGGAGCTTATGATATGTGAAATTTCTTAATAAATGCTTCTGGACTCACGGTATAATTTTTAATGGGGAAAGAGGCTAGAGATGAATAAAGGATTTCTTAGAATTCATAGTTCTTGAGTGCATGTTGTCTTCTTTTTGTCTGCCCTCACAGTCAGATGTTTTTAATTCTATTATTTCTGTCACGTAGATACATTTTCTGACCAAGGCATTTCCTTCTCACCATCTCTTCCCCTTAATCTGAATCTATCAACTCTAGAATACTTTTACTTCTGCACTTCTCTATTCCCACCCTCTCTAGTTCCCACAAACCAAGAGATTTTGGATTATTTTCTTCTTTTCTAGATCCCCTATCTGACTTTTTGGTGTTGCTGAGTTAGTTTACTGTTCTTTAGAATTTCCCTTACCTGGTGATACTTCTTTTTTGAGAGGGAGATTTTTTTGCTATAGGGTGCATGCATTTGCTGGAGAGACAGAGAGGGATTAAGTGAAAGAAAGCGAGAAATCGCCCCCCAGGGGTAATGACCATGCCACAATCCCTTCTCCTACATTCTCCTCTTGGGATCTTGGGTACGCACCCTCACACCAGCGTGAGTTTTAAGTTGCCTGGTCCAGGACTCGAACCGTGGTCAACTATGTGAGAGCCCAGTAACACAACCATTACTTCATCTGCTGGTCCCATGATACTTGTTTTTCAAAAAATTCTACTTAGCACTTTGATTATATAGTTTTGTGATCTATGTCTTTTCTTTCTTTTTTTTTTTTTTTTTTTTTTAGCGATTTTTGCTATAGGGCGCCAGAAAGGCAGAGAGAGACAGAGAGACAGAAAGTGAGAAATCGCTGCCCAGGGGGGGATGGCCATGTTACAATCCCTTCTCCTCCATTCTCCTCTCAGAATCTTAGGCACGTGAGTTTAAGCCACCAGGTCCAGGACTTGAACTGTGGTTGACTGTGGGAGTCCAGCAACATAGCCATTACACCAACTGCTTATCTATGTATTCTTAACCACTTAAATTTACGTACAAATAAGAGTACATCACTCTCTAACCTCTCTCTGTACTTCCGTTTTTTTCATATTAAAGTTTCTGACTCTTCCTTGGTTTGTTTAAAATTTGTTTCTCGAGTATTGTCCTTGGATAGAATAGTGGGTGACAAACCCTCTGACTTTTGACATATCCTGGTTTATCTTTCTTTGCTCTGACGAGTAACTGATTTTTGCCTGAACAAGATTCTTGAGTTATGATCTTTCTCTCCCTTAAGGATCTGCATGTAGGTGTTAGTCCTTTGCCTTGCATGTGTCCTGTGCCAGTTCATTGCAGGTAACTTGTTTTTTTCTGGGCATAATCGTTTTTCTTTAACTTTAGAGTTTAGAAATGCTACCTGGTGGTACCTATATGTTTGTCTTTTTTTCATTAGTTTAGTCTAGAAGTGAGAGAACACTTTTAATCTTTCTTCCTCTTAGGAAAATTTTCTCTGTTGTTCATCTAGGTATAGCTTTTGTTGTTTGGATTTTTTTTTTTTGGAGAGGTTTTTTTTTGTTTTGTTTTGTTTTTTTTGTTTTTTTTTTGCTATAGGGCGCGTGTTCTCACCAGACAGACAGAGACATAGAGACAGAAAGTGAGAAATCACCCCCCAGGGGGGATGGTCACACCACAATCCCTTCTCCTCCCTTCTCCTC